CCCCCCTAAACAAAGCCCAGAGATTTCTGGCAAAGACTACAATAAGAAAATACAGTAAAGTTATGTGAACTTTCTTACACCTTCAACCAGTTATTCATACAACAAAGAATCCAAGAAAGTAAATGTTATCTGTGCCAAACCAGGCAATTCCTCATTACCAGCACTTCCTATATTCTCATGATGCCTTAGAGTGCAGTGTTTTTCAAACTTGGCAATTTTAAGATGTGTGAACTTCAACTCCCAGAAGTCCCCAGCCAGCAGGAGCTGAAGTCCACTCATCTATAGTTGCCGACTTTGAAAAACATTTCAGTCACATGGGATGTGCAAACAGCTGTAAATGAGGGACCGTTTGCTGAATGTCCAGAATGTGATGACCACAGGGGGAGATGGACATTGGAACTTTGAATCTGGGTCATTTTGAGGGATCTATCCTAATTTTGAACAATTCTGCTCCTTCTATGACATGACTTTTCTTTGGATACATGAAGATAGAGGTCATGTTTCTTTACTGTTTTCCTTTCTGCACACTTAGCACACCAAATACTTTCAAATATTCCTTCTTAAGATTTTCTCCAGGTTCTTATCTTGGTTCTTCTCCTCTGATTCTACCCCATATTGATAATATATTTTTGAAAATGCAATGGCCAAAACTAAGTGCAATGTTCTAGGTTGGTCTGATCAATGGAGAACAGGGAAGAATTGTTTCATTTGATCCTGGAGCTGATGAAGTCTAGGATCATTTTCTTTTGGTGAAGCTACATTAACACGATCGGTTGATTCACCAAAACACCCCAGATTCTTTATGCATGTACTACTGCCTAGTATACCCCCCTTATAATGTCTTTTGGTTTTTAAAAATCAATTGCATTTATCTTTCCATTTATCACTAATGAATATTCATCTTGTCCATTGTCCCAGGCCACTTTTTAATCATCCTTTCTACTATGATCTCATGGGAGATAGCATTGAAAGCTTTTCTGAAATCGCAGTACACAATGCCCACTGTACTCCATAGTTAACTGAATTGGTCACTCTATCAGAAAAACAAATCAGGATGATTTGGCAAGCCTTCTTTCTAATAAACCCATGCTGGCCTCTGCCAAGCAATGCATTCTTTCCCAAATGCTTACAAATTGACTATTTTATAATCTGTTTTTGCCTGGTACTGACACCAAGCCAATCAGTGTATAGTTGGCCAGGACCTTTTTGAAGATAAGAGATGTTTGCCCTTCTCTAATTCTCTAATGCAGTGCACTTGTCCTTCTGGATTTCTCAATAATTCTTGAAGGGGCTCCGAGATGACATCCACAATGTAACAGCAATCATTTCATGTAATACAGTAACCTAAGTGTATTACATGAAATGACTGCTGTTACATCTAAGACTCTTGAAGGATCAGTATAGTGCCGTGATGGTGAACCTATGGCACGCGTGCCACAGGTGGCACGCAGAGCCGTTTGTGCGGCATGCGAGCCCCAGCCAAACTTACCTACACTGCGCATGCACATGCCTGATTTGCGGCCCCCTTGAGGCCGTTTTCGGTCTCCCAAAGGCTCGAGGGAAGCCTCTGCAGCCTCGGGTGGCCAAAAAACGGACCTTCCAGAAATACCGGACGTGACGAAACAGGCCCGTTTTTCAGCTTCCAAAGGCTGCAGAGGCTTCCCTTGAGCCCCCAGGAGGGCAAAAATGGCCTTCCCCATGCTCCAGAGGCCCTCCCGAGGCTGAAAATGGGCACTTCCAGTATTTCTGGAAGGCTCGTTTTTCGGCCTCCTGAAGCTGCAGAGGCTTCCCTTTAGCCTCTGGGAGAGTGAAAAAGGCCTCAAACAATCCGAAAATCAGCTGGGAGGTGCGTGTAGGCGCAGTGCAGGTAAGGGGGCGGGGGTTGTTGCGCATGCATGTGCAGGAGGGGCGGAGCACATTGCATTGTGGGTGCCAGCACACGCACGCTATCGCACATGTGCACGCTTTCGACACACCACAACAAAAAGGTTCACCATCACTGGTACAATGTTTAATATTGCTGCAAAGTATGTGCTTCACAGAATATTTGTTTGTTTGTTTATATTCCGCAAACAAACAACTCACAGCGGTGAATATATCCAACACATCTTCTTCCTCCTATTTTCCCAACAACAACCTTGTGAGGTGGATTGGGCTGAAAGAGAGTGAATGGCCCAAAGTCGCCCAGTTGGCTTTCATGGCTAAGGTGGGACTTGAACCCACGGTCTCCTGCTTTCTAACCCGGTTCCTTAACCACTACACCAAGCTGGCTCTCATAATAGCTCTCTCAAGAGAGCTAATGACAGATGACTGCAATGAATATAAATCCTTACATTCTCCACACCAGTCAGTTAGAACTGAAGAAGCTTCTTGGATGAGAAGCGAAACGTTTTCAAAGAAAAAGTCAAGAAAATCCAGTTGCCTTTTGGAAAAGCACCTTTAGGAGGGCATTGTTGCCTTTGTATTCTCACCTTTTGCACCCTTTGGTAACCTCAGTTCATTCGGTGCAATTCTAGATTATCCCTAAATTGATTAACTTTCCTCATTCTAATTCTGATATCCATCCTTTCTGTTTTCAGATATTCACTAAATTTCTGGTGTGGTCATATTGCCTTCTCCTGCTTTTCTTTTTCTTTTTTCTGTGAATTATAGAATTATTTTTAGCACATTTTAGAAATGCCCACCTATTTTGAGCTCCTTTTCCTGTTTGTCTTTTGACAAAGAATTTTATGTAGGATTGCTTTAAATTAATTAAAATCCACTTTCCCTTAAAATCCAGAATTCCAGTATTTCATTGTCATCTTGTTGTTTCTTCCATTTATTAACCAAGTCCCCCTACTAATTAATACCATCTGAAGGAGACAATTACCAGCAGCAAAACTCAGGAAATTTCTGGATGGATTGTGCTTAGCTTTTTATCTCCAATCAGATATTGGGATAATTAATGTCCTGATAGCAGTGTCTCTTTGGAGTATCCAGAAGCAATTTGTTTCTGAAAAAATATATCTAGTCTATTTCTTTGACTGGGCAAGTAGCAGTAGATTCAAACAGGGGATTTAATCCATTTGAGCTTGATGTGCTATTGATGTGTAATGTAGTTTCACGCAATGCTTTCCCCTTTGTTACTCTATTCCAAGTAATTAAAGAAAAATAACAAAACAAAAATGAAACTGTTCGAACGCGTCACAGGAGGAATTTTTTCTTGATCACATTTTATTGGGAATCAATTACTGAACTGACTAAGCAGAAATCAGAACCATAGCCAAAATACTTGATCAATGAGAATACTATTTCGCTTGGTGTTTTTAATCTGAACTATAACCCAGCAACTGTTATGCTATCTTTTTAATGTGGCTATTAACTTTCCACGTGGGATGGAAAAAGAAACTAAGTCCACTCTTTGAACTTATTGATTGAGATTTCGAAACAAGGACCTACAATCAATACTAACATTTACTGGATTATAGACAAGTGCCTAAGAAATGAACCACATGAGTTAGCCCCTCCATTCTGCAGTTTTTCACTCCAAATTCAAATCCAATGTAAATCAATTTAAACATAGTTTGGACATTACTTATCCTGAAATATATTATGGTTTAACCTTAAGTGACAAATTAGATAAGGTTATCTAATTTTCTTGGTAAGAATTAGCTTTTAATCCACGAAAGTACAATTTAAACAAATGGCCTAGTAGCATGAAATGATTGCTTGTATATTGTCACAAAAGAGGAAATCGACCCCAAACAAACAAGAAAAAAATAATCAATTTGTACAAAATGTATGGTGTGTGAATACAGATTAGTCCTTGACTTTCAACCATTCCTTTAGCGACTATTACAGTGGCACTGAAAAAGTGACTTACCAAACTAGTTCACATTTATGGGCATCATGGCATCCCAATGTCATGCGATCAAATTTTGGGCACTTGGCAATCGACATGTATGTATTTACAAAGTTGGCACCATCCCTGGGTCACATGATCACCATCTACGACTGACTAGCAAAGTCAATGGGGGAAGCCAAATTTGCTTAACAACCACATAA